GACTCATTGAGCTACAACATGCATTTAACCACCCTTTAACCACCAGTGCTTTAGTTCTTTGGTTAAATTGGTAGACATCAGAAGGGTGGAAGAAAGGCCTGCTTTTCATCATTCCCAACAGTTTATTCAAATGGGTTAATATTCCCACATTTTTTACCCTATTACAGAAAAAGTCACAGAGATTGTCCTACTATTAGAAATCTAGGAAGAAATCTCCTATTTTATACTCCATCTTTGCTATGCCTATGAAGAATATATTCTCAGTTATTTGTGGTTTTCCATTTTCCACCACTATGAACATTCTTATTAACCTTTGCACTGACATCATCTCCTAAAAAATCTAGGGAGAACAACTGGCTTATTCGAGCTCATTCAAAAAGTTTACACAGAGTCATACAGACCAAGAAGACTTTCTTGATTATCCGGTTTGGCTTCCTACAGAGCAAACATCAGAGCATTATACCCACAATTTTTGAATAAGCAACCACATTTTTTTAAAAGACTATTCAGCTTTGATTTAAAGTATACAGACAACAGGAGGTTTGGACAGAAGAATCCCAAGCTGTAGCCAAGGGCACAAACTGGGCCAGCTACACGGAAAATTTTAGCATAAGAAAGTTGGAGAAGTCCTGTTCCACTTGAATTGAAAGCTGCAATCATTCTTAAAACCAATAAAGTCTTTCCTAACTGTTTATCTTGCTCTTTTAGCAAGGCAATCTAAAAGATAAAACAGCCCACTGTGCATGTGCCTAATCAACATTTAGCACTGTTTTCATGCTCCATAACGTGTCAAAATGTAAACAGCTAATGATTTTTTTAAAAAGGAGTTAATTAACTGTTGCATTAATAAGTCCTATGCTGTTAAAAAGACAAAAAAAAAAAAATCCAGGTTGATTAAACAAAATCCTCAGGAATAGAACTGAATAGACTCTCTTGTTCTCTGTGAGAGTGCGGGTGGCATGGCTATTTACAGAGATAAAAATCAGTGAGCAGCAATTTGGACTTCCATGCCTCAACTTGTTCAGGGAGCTTCTGATTTAACTAAAATGCATTAAATCAATAGCACAATGGGGAAAATGAGGAAAACACAATCAGTGAGGTGTTCAGAAATATGCTACCCAACATTATTAGCAAAGTTTTATTCAACGTAATCTGCTTCAAGAGTCACTGGTGCAGTTACGAATGTCTGTTGAATTTAGATGCTTTCTTCCCCAGTGCCTGGCAGAATAAAATAAACGCTTACAACCACAGTGCTTTGAGAGCATGCAAATATTCTTTCATGGGGTAACCATGCTTAAAAATTACCATCAGTATGACTAAGGCACAGCACTTTTAGTGTACCTTAATTCAGAGGGTGGTAAATTGACATTTTCAGTGAGTAAGCAGAAATCAGCCATGACTGTAATAAGTTCTGCATAGCCAAAGGTGATGGTAACAGAGACTATTTCAGTTTGTTTTTTTTCTTTCTTTTTAAAATTGAGGCTAAATTGAGGAAGTGTGGTCTGGATGATCGGGTAGTGAGGTGGACTGTGAACTGGCTGAAGGAGAGAAGCCAGAGAGTTGTAGTCTATGGGGCGGAGTCTAGTTGGAGGCCTGTATCTAGTGGAGTGCCTCAAGGGTCGGTACTGGGACCAGTATTATTTAATATATTCATTAACGATTTAGATGAGGGAATTGAGTGTACTATCAGCAAGTTTGCTGATGACACTAAGCTGGGAGGGGTGGCCGACACGCCAGAAGGCTGTGCTGCCATCCAGAGGGACCTGGACAGGCTGGAGAGCTGGGCGGGGAATAACTTGATGAAATATAACAAGGGAAAGTGTAGAGTCCTGCATCTGGGCAGGAACAACCCCAGGTTCCAGTATAGGCTGGGGAACGACCTGTTAGAGAGCAGTGTAGGGGAGAGGGACCTGGGGGTCCTGGTGGACGACAGGGTGACCATGAGCCGACACTGTGCCCTTGTGGCCAAGAAGGCCAATGGCATCCTGGGGTGTATTAGAAGGGGGGTGGTTAGTAGGTCGAGAGAGGTCCTCCTTCCCCTCTACTCTGCCCTGGTGAGACCTCATCTGGAATATTGTGTCCAGTTCTGGGCCCCTCAGTTTAAAAAGGACAGGGACCTGCTGGAGAGAGTCCAGCGCAGGGCAACTAAGATGATTAAGGGAGTGGAGCATCTCCCTTATGAGGAAAGACTGAGGGAGCTGGGTCTCTACAGTTTGGAGAAGAGGAGATTGAGGGGTGACCTTATTAGTGTATATAAATATATAAAGGGGGAGTGTCACGAGGATGGAGCCAGGCTCTTCTCAGTGGCAAACAATGAAAGGACAAGGGGTAATGGATACAAATTGGAGCACAAGAGGTTCCACTTAAACCTGAGAAGAAACTTCTTCTCAGTGAGGGTGACGGAACACTGGAACAGGCTGCCCAGGGAGGTTGTGGAATCTCCTTCTTTGGAGACATTCAAGACCCGCCTGGACACGTTCCTGTGTAACCTTATCTAGGTGTTCCTGCTCCGGCAGGGGGATTGGACTAGATGATCTTTTGAGGTCCCTTCCAATCTCTAACCTACTGTGATACTGTGAAATAGTTGTAAACACAAAAATAACTGAACTACAGATGAACAGAATCTGTGAAGACCCATACAGCTTTTTACATATAAAGGAACAGAGCTGGATGCACCTTGTTTAGGGCCTATAGCATGGAATAAACACATCATCTTTATCATCAAGTGACCATACCCGTTACTAAAGTTCCACAATATTGAGCTACTTAAAGCTCAGACCTTAATTAAGATAAAACTTATGCCCTTTATGATTTGAAATTAATAGGACTTCAATTGCTATCATCTGCAATGCTGTTTTTCAGGTTGGTTTTAACTATCACTGTGTAACTGCATGTGCTTTTGTAATATGAGGAACTCAACCATTTGACTTCAATTCTTTTTTTAAATGAAATAAGAAAAAGTCCACTTGATGAACTAATGACCTACAAAATTTCAAATATTATCAGATATGAAGAAGTTGACAGATCAGTGCTAAAACTACATTTTTTAAGTGTGACTATAGTTCAAGCTTTTAGTCTAGTAGAGTAGTAATTATTCTCTGCTTAATTTGGTATGCATGTTTCATTTGTCTCATTCTTATTGCTACCACTATTCTTTCTACTGTAAACAGTAGCTTCAAACTGATTAAGCAAATTCCCCCCAAACCCCGCTGAAAGCCTTTAAAGCACTCCCTTCCAAAACCACTCAATAATTCACACCGGTCTTTTGTGACATGGTCACAAGGTCAACATTTTCAAAAGAAATAATGAAACTTTCAGTTCTCGTGAGCTAATTTTTTGATCCTGTAAAGAGGTTTTTTGAGAATGAGTTTTAGGCCTAAATAAGCCATTATCCAGACATGGGGTGTTGACTGATACGCATCACTGACACTCTTACCTGGAGACAGAAATCCACCCCCTACACAGTAATACAACAAATACTGAAAACTGACATAATGTTACCTCTTCATCCCTTTCACTGCTTGTCTTTCACGCCAATGTAAGAAGCTTAAAAAATAAACCTTATTTTAGGATCAAAGAGCATGAGGCAGGGGTCCTTTCTAAAGCTGGGCTTTGTATCATCTCTTCTCCTTTTCTTCTGCCCTCCCTCCCCAGTACTTGATGCCTCACCCCAGCAGACAAAGCAGAGCAACACATCTGAGGGCGGAAGGCTTGAAGCAGGTGAAGATCCTACTGTAGTGTGGTCCAAGAGTTCAAGGAAAGAGCCCAAGTTCCCCAAATTGTTACTCCTCCCTCTACTTCTCCCTTACAGCAGCACGGAAATAAACTGGGAAAAGCATATTTCTTCTTCGCTGTCTGCCTGAATGACTGGAACTCCCAACGTAACACCAATTAACTTGTCCTTTCCTTAGGAAGCCTGAAACTTCCAGGTGGGCATGAACAGCAGAGTGAGCTAATGCTCCTTGCGCAGAAGGGCTAAATATCTCCATGCGCATTATTGGGCATCTCCACAGCACATGCAGCAGTCATTGTGGAACCATACTTTTCACCTCTCAGAAATGAAGTGGTGCTAGCTGGGTCATACACATATGGTAGGAATATTTTAGAAAAAGAAACCAAGCAAACAGGCCTGACCAATGGGGCAGGAAAAAAAAAGGAAAAAAGTAAACACACCAACAAAACCACTTCAATAGAATTACCCCTGGGCAAACTGGATCATATGTTATGGAAATCAGGACCACCAAGTTAAAATGAAACAAAATATAAAAAGCTGGTAAAAGCTTTAGGGAAGTCTGCAATACTTTCTCATGTTTTATCAAGGTATGAGTTAAACCTGCTTCTTTCACTGAAACTGTCTTCTTTCACTGAAGACAGAATCTGGTCTGACTGAGGAATAAAGGTTTGGGTTTGTTTTGTTTTTTTAAGTTAATTCAACTAGAGGACACTTGAAGAGTTAACAATGTTAAAGTGTGGAAGGAGGTCTGAGGTTAAGGGTAAGGGCAGCATCACAAGGATAACAGACTTTAAATAGGGAAAAGAAATGTTAAGGCTGACATTAGGAAAACATTTATTATCATGAGGATGATTAGATAATGGAATAATTTCCCAAAGGAAGTTGTTGAGTCAACCACTAGAAGCATTTAAAGGAAACCTAGATAAAAGCACCAAGTGATTGATCTGGAGGGCAGCCCTGCACTAATGACCCAAAAGGCTCTTTCCAACTCATTGAGGATTCTCCTCTTGAGAACAAGAATTCCAAACTTTCTATAGCAACATGTGAACAAAAAGTAAATGCAAAACATTGAACAAAGCCAGCGAAGACACTTAACTGGAGCCTTGTTTTCAGTTAACACATTTTCTTCTCCATAGTACCAATAATCTGTGTCTATATATGCATTCATTGCTTCTAAAAAAAAATCCTACCACACATTGATCAGCACAGTGACACTAAGAAGATAAGTTAAGCTACGAAATAAAGCTACAGGAGCTACAAAACTTGCCTTATGAAACACAATGGACATCATGAAGAAATCCAGTAAGAAGTTCTCTGAAATGTCTCTGTAGTCAAAGCGGAAGAAGATTACAGTAAAGCTCAAAGTAACAAATTGATTAATAGGATTACAGAATGAGGAGCGGAGGAGTTTCATCCCAGCAACTGTTATCAGGATAATGTCACAGCTGTAAGAAAGGCAGAAAGAAAAACCTAATCAAGTCAAAGTCATAAACCATTAAATTATGAAGCTCTTAAATACAAATACCAGATGTTTTTTATATTGTCATCTGTATCTAAATCTGCACATTTTATTGATTTGATATTAAACGTATGTTCTTTTAACAATGACATTTATTTTACGCATGTGCAACTTCATGTCTTTCCTTTATAATTTTCACACACTGGTAATCTGAAATGAAGAAATAACTATACTGAAAAGAGTAGCATTGGCTGTTAAAAGCCAAGAATCTAGAAAGAATATTTTTATATAGCTCTTAGCATAAAACTTCTGTGATTTCCATGTGGGAAATATTTTGGCACTTCATTAATACATTACTGTAATTTGAAAAAACTATCTTGAACTCCAGGGTTTTTTTTTATTACCAGGAATTTCACTTGATGACAGAATTTATAACTATTCTCCTAATTTCATTACACACAGTGACAAAATTCTGGAAAGAAACACTCATAGACATTAAGTGCTTAAAATTCTAACCATTGTTCTTGATCACAAGGTCAACTATATGCAGTAATTCCTTCATCAGATTAAAAGAAAAGGTGTTGCATCTATGCATTCATGTAAAATGCATTCAGTCTGTACTTTATTCTCCTTTACTACAGTTCAGAGAGTGAACTTCAGCTGACAGCTCTAAACAGTAAGTGACCACACAGAAAATCAAGAAGTCTAATCTTTAAAAATTCAAGGGCTTGCTGCTGTATCTCCAAGAAGATAATGTTCCTCTTTGAACTCTCCAGAAAACCATACAGTTTTCTGTGTCAGAAAATACAATTAGATGAGAAGGAAAGATGAGAAGGAATGTATTGGCACCCCTTGAATTTAAATAACCACCATATGTATCTGAACTCAGAAACCTGAGGCTGTTCTCATATTTTAGTTTTGATTTTAAGAATCTTTACAGAATTGGAAAGATGGTCTTGCTTGGACAGCAATTTTGGTCTCCATTTTATTTAATTGACAATAAAGCCTATTCCAGGATTTAAATCCTAGAAAGATCTCAGACACGCATTACTGATTTCTAGTCACCTGAGCAGAATGAAAATCCAACCTTAGATCTTTCTCCAGTGTAAATGGAGATTCAGGCTGCAAGCAGGTGACTAAAGCTAGCCTACATGAAATCCTCAGGATAGTGATTTGCCTGAAAATACTGCCTTGTCTTAACTCACCCTGACCTAAGACTGCAGGTGAGGATCCTTTGTCTCCCCCCATCCGCTCCAGCACAGCTAAGTGCTTCTGACCATTCCTGCAGGGAACTGAGCAGGCTCTTTTCTTTCGAAAGAGCTATGCTAGACTTCTGCAGCAGCCTATTGGTTAGACTACTTCCCTGTGAAGGAGGGAACCCATATCCAGCCTGAAGGGATTCAGACCCACATCTCACTCCCCAAGTTACCCTCTACTCCCCCTTCCTTAGCTGAACCTGTGCCAAGAGAAGTTAAAGGGTTTTTAGTCAAAGTCAGAACATGAGTCTACATCTCTGTTGATAGGCTCTCCCCTGAGATGCAACACAGTACTGGGCTCCAGACCATGAACACTTGCATGGTTCTGTATTTTATCCAACAACCACTAAAAACTACAGGAACAGGGTCAGGAGCGGGAACTGGAATGTATGATTCCACACTCCTGTAAGAATTTCCTTACCCACCAGAGCAGGAGGAATCAAAAGCAAACCTCCCATAGCTTCTACTTTCCTGATTAAGTGATACCTATTAAATTAAATGGTCAATGCCACTTTCTACATCAAGGTTTTTAAAAGGAAGGAAATCAAAGCAGTATTTGTGAGCTCAATCCTGATCACATACTGGGGATGCTGCAAAACAGCTCTCAGCTCAAAACCTTTGGGTTTCTGGATCCTAGTCTGAATAAGAGACAAGTGATTTATGCAGAAAGCTCTGGGCATGTTCAGGTTCATTAGGAGGCTTGAAGCATCACGCCGAACTCAGGAGTATTTGGTGGTATTAGGTACCCTCAGGGTTTTCTGGCAGTTGCCATGGCTGACACTTGACAGGCCAGAAAGCTCTAAACTTTTAAAGGTCTTAAACTTCTTTTTTTTTAACTCTTAAACCTTTCTTAAAGGTTTTCATCATTCTAGCAGGGCTCATAAGTCTGCACATTTTCAGGTTGATTTTATTTTATGTGGCATTTCTTCATTACTGTGGCATTTATCCATAGCACAGATGCAACTTTATTTGAATGCAGGTCATTCTAAAGGATCACCAGGACATCACGGTTGGAATGAAATGCCAAGTTTACCTTATTTCTCACTTTTTCAAAGCTGTTCTTTTCAATTTGCCCCAGAATTCCAAACGGAAAATCTAGTGACTAAGCTAAACAGATTCTAAAGCCAACAAAAGCCATCCCAGTGTGTCCTGTATGAACCAGTTGGATCTCTCATTCTTCTGAAAGAAGAAAATTCTTGCAACACTGAGGCATTTTCACATGGAAAACTTACAGATCGTAGAGCAAAAAGAAGACTTTTTCCTCACTGGATCTATTAACATGCAAAAAAATTTCACCCAAACATGACATTTTATAAAATAATGCTCTCAGGCAAGGGCAGCAGAAAACAATTCACTCATCATCCCTCTTCTTTAAGAACATTGCCACACAAGATGCTTTTTCCTCGGGCCTTAATTCCCGGCAGAGAGAAAGTAAGAGAGAGCAAGAAGGGGAGCTTATTTCTGAAGCCTCTGTGGCAGGGAACATGGGCAAGCATTGCAGCTTGTCAGCATGGGTCCCATTAATAACCAGCATATCAGGGTCTAGAAAGCTCAAGCTACCTCCTGGCTGTGAAGGAGCTGTTCTGCCTCCTCAAGAAGCAAATCACCTCAGTCCTTTAAATCACAAAGCATGATGAAGCTTCTTCAAAAGATAAATTAAAATCGAGTAAAACTCCAAAATCAAATCATGCAAAATGTACCACCTCAGATACTTTCAGACACAGAGCAGGACAGTTCCTGCCCTTCTCTATTGTATGATGCGGTCTGATCCTTGGGTGGTCAAGAACTAAGGAATGTTCCAACAAAAGGAAGTGGATATTTAGCGTATTAAAGCATAGAAAGTACAACCCTCAGTAACACTTTCTATGGAAGAAGCAAGGAGAATCCAGGATCCCTCATGGGCTTACAGAGTTGAGAGGAAAGAGGATCTGAAGGATCTGAAGACAAATGTTTTGTGCGTGGTATTTAAATAGTGGCTGTAGGGGAAGCATATTAAAGAATACTGGGAGTGTTGTGGGTAGACCTCTGCTAGAAGGAAAAAACAGGTTTTAAATCCAAGGTGATCACACAGACCAAGGGGGATGGGGAAGGAAAGCATTGTCTTGGTATTCCCCTAGAGGCCAAACAATCACAGGCAGACAAATGTAATTACTGTCTTTAATCTCAAGATTTCTGGGGGACTGACTCACTGCTTCTGAACACTTGAGGGAGGTGCTACTTTAAAGTGCAATCTAGCTTGGAGGAATGACTGAGTAAAAATAGCACCTTCCTAACCCTACATATTTGCTCTGTGCATGTATTCAGTCACGTCTGCTAACTAGCAACAAATGACATTTTGATTACTTTTTAGTTCACTCAGCCTTGCAGAACCAAAGAGAGGGATAAGTATGAACTCAGTTTCACCCTGGACAATACAGTTAAACTCCTGAAGCACCTTGGCATCTCCCAGGTACCTTAGGGAAAAAGGTCAATGGGGAACTACACAGGCTATCTCTGACTGACTGGTGACAGCCTCTTTGGAGAACCAGCTTTCTGGGAGGAATATGCAGAAAATTCGACTAACGCCCTAGTCCTAGTTTCAGCCCCTAAAAGCAGGATCCACCTTTTCCTTCAGGTCGTGCAGTTCCTAAAGCTGTGTTGCACTTCAAGAGAGAAGAATAATTTAAAAAAAAAGCATTTTTTATATCGAAGTTCTTTTTTCTATATACTTACAGCTAAGAATCTTAATTATTATTAGTATTGAGGAACTCCTCCCCCCACCCCACTGTTTTTTTCTCCTACTGGAACCTTCTTTCCTGAACACAGGCTCTTTCTTTGTTTGCATCATCTGCATCCCTGTCATTCTGATAAAAAGACTGCAGAACCTCTGCTCACTGGGGATGCTGCAGTCACTAAGCCTGCTGAATATCTGCAGTAGGCAAGTCACTGATCAAAATATTTACCATAAAAGGCTGTCTGCAAGAATCATACTGTGAGACCATGGATCAGCATCACCAGTTCTGCTTAATATCAGAGACATCAGACTCTGGAGAAACTTGTATCAATACTTTTTCAAACCATTCCTAATGCAGGACTACCCATCATTCTTCACTGTTGAATATTTTATTCAGTCTTGCTTGTAAAAGGCTTGCCTGGTGAAGCTTCTGATAACTCCTTTGGGAGATAAGCCATAGTCTTATAACTCCTCAGTCAGGAAAAATTTCCTGATATCCAACCTAGATTTGTCATTTTCATCTGATTAATTCTAGTTACCCCACTGTGTTTATGCCCAAACACCTGCAGCCTGGTATAGTGTGTCTTGGTTTTAATTGACATTTAGACATTTCATATATATATATATATATATATATATATTTAATCTTTTAATTTCTCCCTTTCTCACTGGAGTAATGTCTTAGCATGTGCTAAGGTAGTTCTGCTTTTTTTCTTTCAGCAAAGCCAATGATTATTGTATATTGAGCTAGTAATGCACAAAAACTGTGATGAGCAGACTTATTTAAGAAACACGTTTCATTTCTCATTCTTCAGTCTAAAACCAAATATTCTACTAATCACATACTTTGAGTTATAATTTACTTACTGTGTACCAAGCTTCTTGTATTTACTAATTGAGAAAGCATCAATGGTGAGGGCATTCAGTATTATAGCTGGATACAAAATGTATTTCTCAAAGCACTGAAGCCACACATAGAGCCTTTCAAACCACATCAAATGAGCGGCATCTGAAATAGAAATTCAGATAACAGATCATTTCACAAAATTATCAGCATTTTTTGCACTGCAATATCATAGAAGAAATGAGTTCGCTGACATTAACAATAAACCAACTGATTTATGAAATAACAGAATTCATAATTCTTTTGTAATTTGAATTTAGAGAGTATCTGCTTTGCTGCTTATAACTGCACTCATGAGAAATGCTCAGAAATTAAGATGATACATGCTAGATGGTAGTTTCTACATAATCCAATTACTTAGTCCCTATATCAAATAGCAATTTTAGTGATGCAATGACTCCAGAGAGGCCCTCTCCAGCTCCAGCACTGACCTGGTGAATGACCTAGGGAGCCTCATTTGAGCTCCGTGCCTCTTCTTCCTCATCTTATACTGGCAAAACACTGTTCACTGGACTGCAAAGTATCACTGACCTCACTGATGAATTACATATCCTTTGAGATCTAAAGACTGAAGAATTAACAGGATCTAGAAACTGCCGCTGATGTTTCTTGAAACGTTTAAAACAGCCATCGTAAAAGGTATCTGCCAGGATCACATCACTCACGAGTAAAGAATATCTTTTTTTTTTGCAGCAGACTTTTCTAACAACATCGGTGCTTAATCTGAGTATTAAACAAGAACCGAATGTTCTGTGCAATTCAATTCCTACAAGAACTTAGGTGAACTGAATGCAGAAACACTTGTGTACAGACAAGAATAATGTCTTTATTCTCAGCTGAGCTCAGCTAGACAAGGTTATTGGAAAAACAGTGAACGCAAAAAAGGCAGAAGTTGGTATTGACTCAGAAATAACAATGCCAGCTACTGAATCTCCAATACTTCACCCTGCAGAAATGAAAATAATTATGTATACACATCCTACCCTCCCACACACACCTTTTCAGTGACAGGCGAAGACAACATGCTGAATCAACAAATTTAAGTGTTCTGCAGGCGCAGTTCTGTATTTTACAGGCTCAAAAGAAAGATCTAAAAGCAATCCTTCCAATTTAAATTTAACTCACAATATCTTAAGTATCTTAAGCTAAGGCAGTGCTCTTACAAAGATCCACCTTCAGAAAATACGATCAATTTCTGTTTATTGTTATAGCATAAGAATATTTCCTCCTATTACCTAAAGACTACCTCCTAAAAGTTCATACGCACAGTGAAATGTCCATTTTGGAATCTAGTTGCTATTATCCATTCCTCTCACCTCCTCCTGAACTACAAATTGCTCTCAGAGCACCACTTGAGAACTTCATCCAGCTGCCCAAAGCTGAGCTCTGTGCAGGAACTCAAGCTTAAATAAAGAGATGTGCATATCAAGTAGACTAAAAAGAAAGTAGCTGCAGGAGTAGAGAAAGATGTGTGTAGACAATGCAGGCAGAAAAAAGAGCTCACATTCAGAGGGGGCCCAGTGAAAGATGATTTGAAAATGGCTTACATGAATCTGTGGGGTATAAAAGCAGTGGCATGGAGGAAGGAGATGAAAAAAATAGTCTCTAGTGTTTCAGGGTTTCTTTCTCATTCAGTCCTGCACTGGTTTCTACACATCTATTATACCACAAGTTCATACATCTTGACCTCAGACTTTCTTCCTGCAGTCAGGCACAACAATGACAAGTAATAAATGAGTCATCTCGTAGAGGCATCATGAGAACAGGTCTGATAATTGCTATTCTGTGGAAGGTCCAAAACTTTGAACAGCTCATCCAGAGTCTAGGAAACAAAGCCAGGAATAAACTTGTGGAATTGTCATTACCAGCTGCCTCACTAATTGCTAGCAGCCATTTTTCTGCCCGTAACAGTACACTTGTCAAAAATTAGGAAGCTGAAAATTAAATTCTATACAGTAAAATCTCCTCACAGATATCTTGTTTTGCATGCCTCTTTCACTGTCCATGCCTGACAACTACAGGATACTGTCCTTTTCCAAACTCCTCTTTCTACACAAACAGGGAACCTTTAAGTTTGGCTCCTACATTTTTCTTACAGAGTAGAAGAAAAGACAGCCTGTCAGACATATCTATCAAAGGGATTACACAACCTTTTCCTCGGCCTGTTTCATCTCAGAACGTGATAAAAAGCCTCTGCAGCAGCCTAAGGGTCTGAAATATGTATTTTATTTTTTTTTACTCTTGTTTTCTAACACACAACACCAGATACATTGCAATAATACTTAAGCCCCAGAGTGCAGGAATGCACTGCACATAAAATGAGGACTGCAAAAGAAGGAAAAAAGCCTGTTGCCTGCAGCAGGTAACATGGGAAATGCAGCTGCATCTCAAAGTAGAAGGAAACCCATCTTTACAGATCAGTCTGGCAGATATCTACCCTCAACCTTTTCGAAAGCTGAGTCACTGCGTTAGGAAAACAACGTTTTGTGACAAATGGAAACAGACTTAATCAGGACAAGGGAAAGAAATTCTACAGTACTCTTTTATGATTATGAGAAATAATAAACAATAAAACCTGGGTATTCATCAGAATTACTGATTATCAGGGAGAGGAAGCCCTGAGAAATGTTCTCAGTTGGATGCGATCCTTAATAAGATTTACATTTCTACTACATTTTCCTTGGCATATTGCAGTAAAAGTTAAAAGGCAACCTTCAATCAAGTCTCTTGGGTACTTTTTTCATACCCAAGCCTTGTTTGGAAAGTAATAGTTTTGAAAAACATGATTTTATTTTTTTTTTTTTTTAAGATTGAACCTTAATGTATGGTTTTGCAGGGAGTGATCTGAACTATGTCGTTGCTTGTTGAAGAACAAACTAAAGCCCCTCAGCAGCCTGTGTTCTGACAATGCTGTCTTCAAACACCTCAGGAACATATACTGGGAATCATTAAGGCCGAGGATCCATCAAAAAATGACAAGCAAGCTTTTGGCTGGTAGCAAAGGCAAGATGAGAGCTGGGGGCGAGGGGAAAGCTGTGCTTCTCAAAGTACATTAGTTGCTTGTAGAAATAACTATCAGAAGAAGAAATCAGACCTCGGCATACTAAAATACATGTACCAGAGCACTACCCACTGAAGCCGAAAGACACTGGCGAGAACAAATCTTCAAGGAAGCTTCACAGTTCTTTTCAATTTTAATGTATCTTTAAAAGTGCTGTGATGGAAATTAGAACTCTAAGTTGAACTACCCTTGCTGTTTAAATGCTACATAGTTGTATATCAGAAAGCAGAAAAGATTCTGCCTTAATCCCGTCAATCACTTCAATTTTTAAATTATATAAAATGCGAATGAACTAAGCATGAACTATAATGTAGTTACAGTTGCTTTAAACACAGCAAGTAACAGCACTGTAATGTAAAAGCAAAAAGCAGTCAATGGCTTATGAAAGGCCACTTAGAGCTAGTAAGATGATTAAGGGACAGGAGCATTTAATACAGGAGGAGAGGCTGATGGAGCTGGGATTGCTTAGCCTTGAGAAGAGAAGGCTCCAGTGGCTTCTTATTAATACCTGATTGGGGCATTTTGGGAGTATAAATATCTGATGGAAAGGGCAAAGCTGATGGAGCCAGACTGTTCTCAGTAGTGCCCAGTGACAGGACAAAAAGAAACAGGCACAAACTGAAATTCCATTTCAACATAAGTAAACAAACCAACATTTCTCACTGTAAGGATGATCAAATGCTAGAACAGGCTGTCCAGAAAGGCTGTGGGGTCTCTATGCTTGAAGATAATCAAAACTGGACACAGCCCTAAGAAACCTGCTCTAGCTGACCCTGCTCTGAGCTTGAGCATTAGACCAGACAGCCTTCAGGGTGCCTGCCCTTCCATGCAGCAGTCTCAGGAGACAAATTTTACAGGCTCATGGATTTGCTGGTGATCAAGCAGGGGGGAACAGAAGTGATGGGCTATGCATGCTATCTGAAAGAGGGAAATACAAGCACAATTTATTCTCCCTGCTCTGTCCCTTCTGGATTTTTTATTTTTTTTATTTTAAACCAAGACAAGCTGCAAGTCATTTCATCACTGTTTAGAAAAGATTTTATTACAAACCTCTCACTTCCCGTTGCTGGTGCTCTTTGCTTTTAAGTATGGGGTGGGAGATCCACAGCCAGGGGTGATGCTTGCGAAGCTGAGGAAGTATGTAATGTGTTACGAATCCTACAGTCCATGCTAAAGCAAACAGGACGATGCTGAGAAATGGCTGGGCCAGAAGAGAAAACAAAAAAGTCAGGGTTATAATTTTCAAACAACACTTTCTTATATATAACTTTTTTTTTTTTTTTAACAGTTCATATGAATTGCTTTTTTTTGTGTAAATGATTTTTATTCCTATCTTCAAACTCTCTGACCCCTTGGTGGATATGGATTTTGAAATACCTATTTTGCACACACTGCAGATTTTTTCCTCCCTAACTGCAAAAAAAAGGGCAAGAGATCTGGCTTACTCATCCTATTCCCCAGCTCCCACACCATAAAACAGCTGTGTTTTAAGGAATGAGACATTAAAACAGTAACACAGAAATTAATACAAATATCCACAAACTAACTGCCTCACACATAAAAAATGTTGCAATGACCAATAAATACATTTTCACTAACTTCTTTTCCCACAGTCTCTATTCTTTCTAGATAAAGCAACCTGTGGTTTGGCATTAAAGAAATAATACCTTAGACAAGGTGGGGAATAAAAAAACAGGACAGATACACACCCTTAATGATAGAAACACCGTACTGGCACTGACAGCGAATGACAGAACAGCAGCCGCTGTGCAGACAATGAGATCCGATTTCAAGATTTCTTTCTGTGAAAATAATTATTTTATACAAAATTAGAAAGCCAATACTATTTTAACCAAATTAAAGGATTCTGTTCTCAATTACTCACAGTCTGCTTTGCGATAAGGCTCATCAGCATTCCCTGATACAGAAGTATTTTCCCTACTCTGGTTTCCTTTCAGAAACTATTTCTTCACACTCTAAGTTCGTCAAAGTAACAACATTTAAATTCATCATGCCTAATTTTAAATTAGTTTTTTAAATAATATAGTTTTAAAATTGGGGAAATGAAAGCAATACATTTTTATATTGAGTCAGACTCTGCTGAAGAAATATAATGTCTACATTATAACTACTTTGGGGAATCAGAATTCTGGTTCTATTTCCTATTTGCAAGCATTAAGATTTCTTCAGATTCAGTTTCTCCTGCTTTACTGAAATGACTCATGCTTTTCTGTAATGTCTTTAGAGACACAAAGTTAATACATTTATTATGTTCTAAAGTGACATGTCCCGTTTTCTGATTTTCTGTATCAGAAGCCAAATTTCAGCAAGATTTCATGGATTTCAGTGTCACTGAATGATAATGAAAGGACGTGGCTGCCTTTATATAAATATCTAGAACTACAGTAGGAGTAATTTTGTTTCTAAAGACTAAAAAATATCACTGTCTTTCCAGCCTGGTTTTCCTTGTGATTAAAATGTCATTCTCAGTAAACAAATAAACAAGATGGCTTGCAATCTGTGCCATCTTCTGAATTGTACTTCAGAGGTCACCCAAATGTTTTTGTGAGCAAATAAAAACCTTGCCTAAGATTTATGAGAGGGGCATTTAAGCTCAGCAACTCAATATTACTGCTAAGTGATCGAACGAGTAACTATTTGCAGCCCTTGGTTTAAAAACTGACTTACGCTTTAATTCAAAGACATCTAGAAACTTCCTATGAAATGCAAAGCTTTTGTTAGAGTTAGAAGTTCACCTGATTTCCCGGTGCTATAAACTAGGTAGTCTTCATGTATCTCATCAGAGAAAAAGGAAGAAAAAAGAAATAATAATGAGATAGCAAACCTAAGAATAAGGGAGATAGAAAGAAAGCAAGCAGAACAAGTGAACAACAGACGGGTTGTGAATTACAGGGGAAGCTGGTAGCTACCACTATATTTAGGCTGCCTATCACTCCCTGTTATGAAAGATACTTCTTAGTAAAAGGTCACAAGCATCAGCACTTCCACTCGCTGCAATAGGCCTTTGAAATTCAGGAGGACTAAAATGCCTTCAGGCTCAAGAAGTACTTTTGCTTTGTCTCAGGAAACTCCAATCAGGTTTCACTGAATTCTCAAGCCATCACCACTCTCCTTCCCTTTCCCAGGCTGCTCAGGAGCATGTACCTCCGAAAGAGCAGCACACCCTCCCCTGCAAGATCTCTGCCCTCTCCCAACAGCCCTGTATTCCACACAGATTTATAGGTGGGAAGGTGTAGAGCAGAGTTAGGTCCTCCTAAGTCTTCCTGACCATCTGTTCAAAACAAGCCAGACTTGCTCCCCAGAACGTAAGAGGGATCACAGGAAAGGCCTTCTCTTCCCTGAACAAACCTTTTACCCCTGCCTGTCCCCACAGGTCCTCTCCATTCAGTTCAGAGCTTCTCTCGCTAGTAAGATGTGTATCCAACTCAAATGGTTTTACTACGTGAATTAGTACTGACAAATTGTGGTCAAGACCCTGATAAAGATGGGTAAGGGAATTATTACCAATGTATGTAGTGGAAATAATGATTTTTTTAACCTTTCAAATTTTTAAACACATTGCATATAAGCTCTACATAAAGCAGTGATATTTAGCTTGTAAAATTCAGGGTCTAAGGAAGTTAAACAGTACCAGATTTATATGGCACTATTTCAGCCCTTTTGTGAATACGTATAATGAAAATTCTTTATCAAGTATCATTTTCTGCACAGTTGAATCCAACTACTCAATAATTTACAACAAGCTTATAAGAACAACAAACACATTCCAATCATATTTTCAAGTTTTTCTGTACAAGCAGAGAGGATTACTATTAACATGACTTACTTCTCTTGCAATTAGGTGACTGAAGAAGCTGCCATTTTAAGAAGTACATCAAATATTAAGGATTAAACTGCAAAATCAGCAGAGGTGGCAGCATGGACATTGCCAGGTCAGCAAAGAGAATTTTCTTTAAAAGATTACAGTCAAAAGAGAATGCATTACATTGATGGTATTGCACACAACTGGTATTTCCTACCATTCCCATTTTGAGTTAGCAAGTGTTCTTTTTAGGGTGCTCTCACTGCTTCTGACACATTAACAATCCCATACAGGAAAAGGCCCATTTTTAAAGCAATGATTATTATTCAAGTATTTAAACCCAAATTTGATACTTTAACTCTGCAACATCTGAAATGTTTAAAGTATCATATATGCTCAGTCTTGCCCTCTTGCCTTTGCACAGAACTGCTACGAAATGTAAATGTATTGCTTAGCTGCTGATGTGCACAATGGTCCCCACAGGAGCTCCTTTTTGATGTGGCAGACACGTTCAAACTTCTCACAGAATTCAGGGGTTTTACCTTCCAAAACAAATCTGAGCTATGGTTGCCTCCATTTCATGTCATGGCACAGTGGTAAGGGCCCCACAGGAAACAGTTGACCCTAGACAGTTATCTCTCTGGCTGAGGGGGATTCAAAGTTACCTTCCAGAAAAAAACCCTGGGCATCCACCTACAGGCTTCCACCCTTCCTGCTCCTGCAAAACACAGGATGCAACCCTGTTCTCCATTCTGCATTTAGACCCAACTGTCCAAAGCAGGATTTTGGATTTCATTCCCAAGGCCAGACAACTGAATGTTGAACACCCTACAATGTGATGCTTGAGTTCTTCATTGCAATTGGCCCAATGTGGAAAAGTTAAGCACCAATCACAGTTGAAATCTCTTCAGTGAGAGATAATCACTGTTATAATTTGGGTTGAAAGCAGGTGGAATTTTTCTCCATTTTACACTCAAAGAAAAGAAGAAACCTCAAACCAACATCTCTACATTTGATTACCTCCATTTTTACATGCAGAATATACTATAATGGCGTTTTGGTTTTGGTTTGGTTTTTTTTTAATTATTATCATGGAATCACAGAATTATTTAGGTTGGAAAATACCTTTAAAATGACCAAGTCCAAACGTTATTTTCAATTATGCTTTTAGAGCTGTGTACAAATCCTTTTACTAGCTATCTAAATGTTTGTATCAAAGACCAGGAAGAAAGCTGAATTTGACTGTAACACATTAGCACCCTCAGGCCACTGGTTAATCTAGTAATCAGCCATGTGGATGCCTAAAGAAATTAATTATAATGGTAGGAAGCTCCATTCTCAAAGTTGAATGGTCAATTATCCATCACAGCTGCTTTATAATTCAGGCTTCCAAAGGTGGCAATTCTTACACAGATATTCAAGCAAAGGAAAATAGTAAAGGTCATGTAACTAAAAATGAGAGATGCTGTATTTATTATTCTGAACATCAACGCAAAGCCACTACATAATACAGCACATTAATTTTCAGTATTAACCTTGTTTGCATTCAGCTCCTTGAGGAGGTGATTTGGTTCTGTATGCTTCAGGATTTCTGATTAAAATGGTTCTTAGTTAAACGGTGTGTTATGAAGATCATGGATCTGCGTATAGATCAGGATAAGGCTGGCTGTTGCATCCTGCCATCTCTTGCCACTGGCAAGCGGTCAGGAATACTCGCCTCATAGATGAGTACTCCAAGAGGAAAAAAAATTGACCACCACCAGGAGCCACATTCAAATAGTGACATCCTGTTTCACTCAATTTCTGAACTGTTTGAAAACCCCCTTGCAGAAGTTCTGGAAGCTATTTAAAATGCCCTTTCAAGAGTGTTACATCCAAAACATGACTGCTGTTGCTGAAGAAAGTCAGCAGAGACTGTGGCTTAACTGTTCTCCTCAAACTTGAGGCACATACATTTTCTCCTACCTCAACTCTCCCCTACTTTTCTATTAGCACAGCGCTGTGAGATAGCAGTGGGAGTCTCCTGGCAAACTGGTTAGTGTTTAGTTGAGACAGAGGTATCAGATAGCACAGAGGTTAGACAAAGAGCCTATATTAATCAGAAACTGACCTCTCTTTCTTCAGGACATCACCCAGTGTGAAAGAATTAACACTGCCAATTGATGTTGTAAGCAAACACATCTGCTTACAGTTTTTATACAGGGAAGCCTGGACAGAGATGTAAAAAAAAAAAGGTGGCAAAGAACTAATAAGCTCCAGCAACACTGAAGGAAAGAAGCCTCTGTCTGAAAGCATCAGTATGGAGAAAATGTACAAAGCAAGAAAAGCACCAATCCCCCAGACCAGGTACATCCTGGAAAGCAAGATGTGCCAGATGTTCTACTTAATAAGTGCAAAGAAAAACAAACCAAAAACCACTGCAAAACACGGCAGGAATGTTTTCACCAGCCATGGTGAAGAGAAGAAATGAAGTCTTTTATCTGGCCAGTCCCACCACAGCCCTCCCTGTGCTTCTGCCCCAGTGACTGAAGGGCACCAGTACCGTTGAACCACATGGTAACTGTTAGTGTAAGATATTAGGTACCTGTCCACATTCCTGACACAAAACCAGGCTGATAGTCTGCAGAATGACTCCATTTTGAAAATATAGCCAGGGTCTTATATGAACATTTGTCCATTCTTTGGGGTTTTTTCGGTTTCAATGTATTGAAGCCTTGCTCAAGGTTTCCTTCCACTATGTCCCGTGTGGTGTCCTCTGCACGGGACAACCACAGTAACCACTGCAGTCCACTGGCAAGGCTTCATCTGCAGAACAGATGAGATCAGACCCTGCACTGCTGCAAGAAGGGCACTATCAGCAAAGGATACAAGTAGGATACAAATACAGTGGGACAGAAGCTTTCATTGCATCTTCCATATAGTGCACAAGCAAAAGAATGGACTGACGATGAATCATGGCAATAACCTACACATCAGAAACACCACGGAATATAGCAAAAACTTTAACATAATTTATTTTTTTTATTCTTCTACTAGCTGGAGTATTTATTGCAGTGTGACCCTGTTGTAAACAGTTTAGTTTGCAAGAAACTTGTAAATACAAGCAACAAGAAATAGGTTTATCACTTAATCTTACATGGGCCCTATTAGAGTAAGCACTTTAAAATAACACAATACATGGTGGAAAATAACAATCCAAGCAGCAGCTTAGCAAAGAAAAGTAGAAAGTATTGGTACCATGGGATCAACTCGTATGCCAAATGTAAGCCATGTCACACCTTATAAAATGTCCAACAAATGATTCAATATGTACAGGAGAGATGTATAGAAGAGATCCTTTTGAAGGGACATACGGACGCCAGGCCATCTACCACACTAGCGACCTGTATCAGTAGGTACTATGGACTCCCAGGTCATGTCTAAGGGTCAAAAAAAGACAGTCTGTCTTTCAGGCACTCTTTCAATGTTTCCTGCTTCTGCAGTCTTTCAGGAGTTTAGGAATAACTGCCTAGATGGCAAATGCTACATGCAGGCATTAGGGATATGGTCAGGGGGAAAGGCTGTCTAACAGCCAGGAAGCAGGACAGTTCATGACTCTAAGAAATGTCAAACATCCCTTAGTACTTCTGGAAAGTCAACACATGAAGATCACATTCCCACATGAAGATCAACCTTCCCTGGGTAGTAGCAAGGATTTTTATATAGAAAGAGACAAAAAGAAAGATGGGTCACTTTGGATGTTTAAGCTGAAGTGGGAAATAAACTGACACAATCTTAGAGCTACGTGTCAGACAGTAGGAAATAAACAGCCTGCCAAGCAAAGAAGAAATGATGAGATGGCAGTGCTTGGCACCAGGCATGTACCTCCCTCTCTCACACTAGTCAAGTTTTACATGCTTCTTCCACCTCTAGGTGCCAAGTCTGGTCTGTGCTCCACCTGGCTTGGAGGGCACACAATCAAAAGTACTCCTGGCACAGAAAACACATTCCTGAAAACCAGATCAACTCCTAGCCCTAGAAGAAGAATGAATAAGGGCTGTTTTAAATGCAGTTAATGCTGTGGACCAAACTCTGTCCCACTCCAACGCAGACAAGGAGTTTGGCAGGACCGCTCACTTTCTTATGCGCTTGTTTAAAAAGCATTTAAAAACGCCTGCCTTGTAGACACCAGGTTGCCAGGCTGTAACTATATGCACAGAATCTGCACTAGCTCTCAGAGTACCAGGATAAGATGCCCCATTCCCCAAGCTCTAAGAGTGCATTTCCCACCAACTGTATTGAGAAATCAATGTTATCCTTCAAAAGGAAAATGGCAACATTCCTCTTCTCCCTTCCAGCCTCATTGGAAAGAAAGTCTAGAAGAACTTCTCTCAGTTTCTGTGGATTTAAAGGAACAGAATATATATCCTTCCATTTGTTATGCTTTTTGTAATTTAAATATTTAAAAGATTTCTCAGTGGAGAAAATGGATATGAGAGAGCTCTGAACAGAAAGTAATGAAAGAAAAGGTCTTACCACTGATTCTCTCATCTTTTCTGGGAGTGGATCTGCTGATGAATCTTCAAATCGTTGACGCAGATAGTGAGGGACATATTTGCACTGAATAAGGGACCTGTTTAAAAAATAAAAATAAAATCTTAGTTAAGATACTTCTGAACATTTCTAACAGATATGAATATACCTGGGGGGCAGAGAAGCAGGAACAGCCTCAGCCTTCCCTCCTCATGTATTCAGTAGCTATCTTGTCTCTGTATAGCTGGAGATTGACACAAACCAGCTCTACCTGTGAACAAGGTAGAACTTTCTCATCAAAATGCTAAAAGTCTCAGCAGTCCACCAATGTAACTCAGTCATTCAGAGGAATGCGCAGAGAGGGTACTGCTGCATTCATGCCTTTTATTAATGTTTCAACTAAACTGAAACCAATATGGGAGCTGTTTAGACCCACCATCAGACAGGCCAAAGAAGCTATTGCTGTATATCCTCAATTCACAATTTACATGCTACCTCTTCCTCTATCTTAAAGTTTATGCCCCAGGCCATCCCTTAAATACTGTTTCCAGGAGTACTGTAAATACTCTCCTTAACTTCCTTCAGTTAAGTTCGGAGCTGCTTAAAAAAAATAAAAAGCTTAAACCTCTTTTTTTTTTAAGGAGTATAAATTTTTATCATGATTGCACAATAGACATTTGATGATGCTGTACACATATTCTTAATTTTAAGATATTTAACAATTATTTCCACTGCCTGAGATTTGATTAAGAATGTTATGAAATCAGTAATCAGATTTAAAAGTTAAAATGGATTTAACAGTTTAAGATTACTTCCTTAAAACAGAAGTTTTAAGGAAAGACAAGTTTCTGTTTCATTAAAGAAGCTAATGAACTGGTGCGTCCTTCCTGGGAAGTGGGAGTAAAGAATAGATTTAAACTACCTCAGAATTGAAAGAGCTCAGCACTTCCCTGCTCCTTTGCAATTTATCTGTGTTTTACTCCAAGGCTAAACAAATCTCCCTAATACAGCACACAGCTTACTCCCTTCCATACCCAAGTTCCATACTGTAGCACTCAATGAATTAGATGCCACCTAAATAACCTCACCTCAAGACACACTCAACACATGTCATGAATCAAAGGAGAGAACCCATGGGATTCTTCACAGGCCCTCTACACTGTTCTAGGGTAAGACTGAGCTGTCTGTGAAGCAGAATCCCAGATGGCATGGTGACGCTGGCTGCACAAAACCCACTTGCTTAATCCCAAAGCCATATATGTAGATGCCCAGCTCCTTCTGGACAACCCTCATGATAGCCATATAGCACAGCTCCCACAAATGAAAATTTGTATCTGCTGCCCTTGACTATGGATCTATGGGCCTTTCTCATGTCACCTCAACCTGCAGATCACAATGTTAGGACTTCTCTCCTGGATTTCTCATTTGCAATGTCAGCCCTTAATACACTCTACCTTTCCTCAGCTACCTCTAACAGACTGTCAGAGCAGAAAAGGAAGGAGTTAATCTCAGAGAGGCATAGCCCACTGACAGTGACCCTCGGAAAGAGCTGGAATTGAGCCATCTTCCCAGCACATCAAATGTCCTTTCTCCTTGCCACAGCACTATCCAATGCATATTCTGCAACACCAAGTAGCCTGAGCACCCTCTCAACTAAACCACTATCCTCCTAAATGGCAAGCACACAGTTTACTAGAGGATGAAATCTGCTTCAGAGAATTTGGATAGTGCTGTTTGAAGAGCACCAACCATACTGTCAATCTGACTGCAGCACTTCATTTATTTGAAGGACTGATACCAACCAAGCAGACATAGCAAGGAATTTCCATCTCACCACAGTACTTTGGAGAGATAATCCCTGTGCTTTGGAAACTAAGCATCACTCTGGCTGTGTGCTATACAGAGTAATCAATAAATAACATTTGCAGGCAACTTACATCAGTACAGATGGGTCACTGCTTTGTCTGCTGAGGTGATAAGAAAGCGCAACTAGCAGACCACAGAAAGCAGAGAACAGTGCTGGAATGTGTTGTGCATCCCAGGGTTCCTGAACAGAAGGACAGAAAGCAGAGCATTTTAAAGTTAGGAATGCAGAGCTTAACAACAACAACAAAATTAAGTAAGTCACATATGCAGTGCTAAATGCACAGCATCTGAATTTGTACACCATCTATGAAGGACTGAAATTCTTTTTTCATATCAAAGTCTATTATTATGAAAAAGACTGAGATTAGAAGCATGTTTTGTGATCATACTATGTAATTCCTGTATAATCAGCAATTAGCTAGGAAACCACATGAAAGGCAGGTTTTCTCTTCTCTTTGATGAAACACTAGAGGCAAATTCTCATTAAAATGAGATGCAAGGGAAATGAAAAGCACTGTATTTGTCTAAACTCTAAACTGATGTGTAGTTACTTGACCTATGGTCAGACTTCATGCAACAAATGCCAGCGTCACCTAAATCAGGCAGTGGGGTACAGCTCTGCCACCTCACTCCGAAATCTTTCTGCTGCTTTGTAGGTTACATCCAGGCCCTGCCTGAATGACAACAGTGGAGAGGGCTCGCCACCCTATGTAACATCCCTGAGCATGGAAAGAAGAGACAATTTACACACTTGCCAGCACACTTTGGGCATAACCAAGATAATAAACAGTTTCTAGGTGACTGAAACAGCTAAAATTGGCCAAAAATAATATGAGAAAAAAATGAAGTAAGAAACATTCCATTTCTTTTAGGTGCAACAAACACCTAAGACAAACTAATTTCCTTTTAAGGGACAAACACTCAAAGCACTGCAATATAAGGTTTCTTTGGAATTTAACCCCAAGATTCTCATTATCCTAACAGCAGTATCACAAAAGTGAAATTCTAATTCCAAGAATCATTTTCCTTTCATCATACTAAGGAACATCACAAAGATGAAAGAGACAAGTTTCTAGCTCTGTCGAACAACCCTACTCAGAACAGTCATTACAAATAAAAGTATTAGGAAAAATCCAGCATCATTTGTCTGACAAGTCAAACTTTGCCATCCAATTTCACCCTCCATTTCATTGTCCCCTGTTTTGGGGCCAAATACATTTTTGAGTTAGATCTTCTAATGCTTATTCTCAGGTCAGAAATTTTACAGAGAAAACTAACTGAAGCCATAATGTTCTGAAAGTGGCTGAATCACAGTGTGTTCAAATATCCACTGCATTTCTAGGGCAATAGATCTGCACACAGATCCACCCAGCAGCTCCTAGTGCATGACTGCCCCTTTGACCTGTAACTTTTTCCAGAAGCAAAATACTGTAAAGAGCGCAGCAATATACCTGCTATTGAAACCTATCCGTAGCCAGTCTGCGCTTTTCCTACTGTAAAATTGCACATGGCTGGTTATCCATATTAATGTTTCAGGAAGTCTTTACTTGTATATTTTCTGTATATTAAACACAGCTTCTACATTTAGCTAGCCTATTCTTCAGTTCCAAAGTGTCATTGTCCTCCCAGAGCTCAGCTGTCAGGGAGCCAGGAAGGCAGGCAGGATAGACATCAATACTCGCTGTGTGCCTAGAGAGCAGGATTTTCCAGAATAATGCTACACAATGTTGTACAAAAGATGAGAATGAACAAAGGTGTCGTATCTCCGACATCAGGGTGATGTACCCTGCTCCATTTTGTCATTTTCCTCTTCCACTGCCTGGTAGAGCTTTAAATTAAAAAGATGAAAAAACACAATATAGTTCATAATTGGACAATGATTCTTCTCAGTAGGAAAACAGGAATGACAGGTTTTAGCTTGGGGAGCTGCTATTATCTGTCATACTAGACAGGTAGTCTGACTTCCTACTTTTACCTCATTTGGTTGAGGTGACATGTTGTACTTTCATATCAGTTTTGACTTTGATGCAGACACTCACGTAGTCATTTTTAAAACAAGTGAAATGGACTTACAGGATTAAGGATGAGAGTGATGAGTTACAACAGACACAGTGGTCTGGGAGTGGCGTTTCATTACAACAACCAAATCTCCTAATCCCAAAACAATCCACTAAAAAGGAAGATAAAGGTGTCTTTGAATTTATGAGCCTTTTGCAACTGGTAGAGGTTGGGAGGCAAATGTATTTTGAAAAAGTGGTGATAGTACTTTTCTGTCCTATATTATTTATCCTTTTTGCTTCTTGTCACAAAAGGGCAAAAAAGGCATGTGGTACTCTTATCTCTCGAAGATATGCTCAAATAAATCATACGTCCTACTTCAGAAACAAAAAGTGCTCTGAAAAGAGAACCACTTGTGGTAAGTAGAAATCCTTGATACTTTTTTCTTTCCCCCCCTCCCCACAGACTACTCCTCTCAATGCAACAAAGACTTAACAGACTGATGCAGTATCAGCATCATTGAAGGTGAAGGTGTTTGCATAGTGGCTGGCTTTTTAAATACGAAGACAAACTCCAGTTGTTCTTCACAAAGCACATACCCCCTCTGATTTTCCACTCTCTCATGATTTTATCACTATTCACAGAATGGTTTTGGTTGGAAAGGACCCTTAAAAGTCATGTAGTACTACCCCCCTGCAATCCAACTAATCTTTCTTTGGTCTTTTTCTTTACCTCCATACCCCAGCCTCATCACGGGTCTATGTTGCTGCTCATATCAAACAATACACAGGACAGCTGTTGAAGAGAACCAATTCAACACATGTGATAGTAAATTGAAAGAAATACTGAACATATACACTCTGAATGAGATGCTAAAAGGGAATCCTCCCCACCCCTGAAGGTATGAGAAAACGATAACAACAACTCATTCTTTACAAGGTTAATCATAAACTTAATTATATTACCATGGATATTCCTTTTCAGTGAACACTAGCAACCAGGATATGGGAATTATTCATGAGCCTCGCGTTAATACTGGTTAGAAACAAATTCTAGGGAGAGATGCTCACCAGCCTTACATTCCCATCACCCATGGAAAACAAAACATTACTTTCCCAGAAGTGCTCCACAAACTTGACAAGTAATAAACTAACAGACTACAGATATCACTGCCCATTCTGAGCAATATTCTGTGTCTCACACTCCCAACTGCTATCTGTGACTGTATTTTGATTGCTGAAATTTAAAACCCATAAGGATGGCACTGATGCAGGGGTATGCATGTGTGCACACACCACCTTACACAACGGGGTCCCGGTCTGTGACTAGGATTCCTCAGCTAGAATGTAAGATGAGCAACAACTTCAGGCAGGGGCATGGATACTCATATGTCACATAATGGTGAGCTTATCCTAAACAAGAAGTACAGATTTCTACATTCCTATACAGTTCTTGTACAGTGACATACTTCTGTAAGAGTAACCCTGGGCTGCACCAGATTCTGCAAGCATAATTTCCTTTTGCTGTTATATCTGGACAATAAGTTCTTATTATACACAGAAAACTAAGAGCATAACTACTGAAGTTATGTCTAAAGTGCAAGCCTATGGCTGTAAACATCACTTACTGAAACGTGTCATAGCTGACAACTCTCTCCAAGCTCTTGCATGAACCTCAGGGGTCTCTAAATTGGAAAGTACATAAAATTGATGAGCCTTGTCTTCAAAGCCTCCAACAGGGCTGGAAGTATGTTACATGGTAGAAGCAAAGCTGTCTAATAGTCCTATACTCTTATTTTTAGCTACCACACATCCGGGAATTCTGTCTATACACATGGGTCCATTCACTGCTGTTTAGAAATTCATTTGGGCAGTGTTAGCAGATTGAGGGAGATGTATGCTTGCAATTCTTTCCCATTATAAAACCATAAGGCAAAATATTTCAAAATTATTAGTACACAGATGAAGTCTGAGTCATTGAAAACGGGAATCAAGAAGCATTGTTATTCTGATTGATGTGTTTAAAACTCATTAAACAACAAACCAAACTACATCAATGTGAGCTGAGAATGGTTTAAAATACACACAGGATTTCTAGTAACTGTCCACTGAAACAATAAATAAGAAAAACTTTAATGGGAATGATGTAACTTTACTTTTTTATAAAACATGTGCTTACACAGAGCTGGAGGGGGCAGCTGTGCCGCATGTGAACACATTCACATCAGTTTAATTTCCGACCCAAGAGCAAAATCTGGAGTTTTTCCACGCTGATTAAGACAAACCACAAGTTCCTTCAGCAGTTAAAAATTATATAAATAAATAAAAAATGCTGGATGACAATTAACTGGTTCTGGATAAGCTTCAAATCCAAACCAGCTGATTGAACAGAAAGTAGATGAGAAGGACTGACAGATTCCAGAAACCTTTGGGGGTGTGCTCTTCTGCTACACTGATGTGCTGGAATGCTACAGACTGATACCAAGACGGATAAATTCCAGACTAAATATTTGAGGAAAAAGTAGGGGGACATACCTGACTTTTTTTTAAAAATCTGTTTAATACTGGGGCACAGACCATGAAGCAGATGGTGCAGGAGACAAAAGGCAGCACATCAGGCAATTCTAGGCAAGTGAAAAAGATGGCACAGAAGTTCCCGCGTCTCCAATCTGATGGATGTAATAACAGAAAATAAAAACACCTCCATGAGGAAATAGATATAACCCTTTCATATATCAAAGCTAAGGTGGCTATTACAGCTTGCAATTTCTGCTCAAGATTACAGGATTGAAGCTGAGATCAGAAATAAAGCCAGGCTGAAGTGAGCACATATAATTTTAAACTGAACTCAGTTACCCAATAGCTTCAAAAGCAAGGTGAAAAATTGCTGCTAACAGATGTAAGAATCCACAGAATGACCAAAAGAAGTGATAAAACCATGTTTAAGATTTAGAACGTTTTATTACACAAAAGTAAATTAAAGTTCATAGAGGACCGGGAAAGAATTGGAGTAAGGAGTGATGATAGACTTCAACAGAGGCGTGGGAGACAAAGAATAATCTCAAAGACAGCAAGAGAAACTCAAATCTTTGCACTTCAGAAGACATTTCTCTCTTGTCTGAAATCAAGTTCACAGTATTGTTGTATGTAAGGCTAGATAAGCAGCTGGTGTGACATCAGTCAT